CCTAACAAGGAGGACGAGGCTGAACCTGGATAGGTCAACCGGGTCCGCATCGGGCTTAACGGGTTTGAGCCGAGGAGATAAACTGGATCCGCTTTTTAGCTTCTAGACAAAACAAAGCACGAGATGTAGCTTCCATTTCTTGCACGGAACAATGTAGAGAGGAATTTCTGCACGTGATTTTGATGTTTTTGACAACATATATAATGCTTTATTTTTCTTTCTAGAATTTCTTTGAATCAATGCATTAAAATTTATTTTTTATTTTTTTGTCTGATTCTATATATTAAATTTCTTTTTCCATTTTTTATTATTAAATAACTCCAATTTATGATATTAAATATTGAAATTTCTAATTGAATTTTAAGGTATAGTGTATAAAATGTTTGGTAGGATTTTAATGAAATTTTTTTATTAGAATTTTAATTATTGTCGAAAGCTCGCTGATGAAATTTCTAAGCTGTGGAATTTTTTAAGTTTAAATTAAATTAAAGATAAAAAATCAAATATAAATAATTGATTAAATTGCTTTTTTTATTTATAAATATTTTTTATCATTCCATCGGTATTATAATTTTGAAAAAAATTAAAGGAATAAAAAAATAATTTTGAAAAAATACTAAAAATTAAAAAAATGACCAAAAGATCAGCACTTAAAAAGTGTAATTAATACTAAATTTTTTATAGATTTCTTGTAAAATCCTTAAAAAGCTGATTTTTTTTTGTGCTGTTAGTCCCGTACGATCTGACTTTAGTACTGGACGAACTGAAGAAATTTGTGAAGAATCAAGACTGTCGACGAATCCTTTCACTATGGATGCCTGGGGCGTCACATTTCTTTCTTAGAAAAGTATGACTATAGCTTAAAGTTATATTTGCTAACAATAAGTAATCAAAATAGTTTAGCATTTGTTAAAATTAGAATTTACATATATGGTACTTGAAATATTCAAATTAATTTATATATTTAACATTTAATGATTTAATAATAAAATAATTTAAGTGGTTCCATTTAATAATTTATTTATTATTTTTATAAGTAATTCAATTAGATGTTCATTTAGGATAGTTTTCTCATTGCTAAAACAACTTTTTAATTTTTAACTCAAGCGGTGCTTTAAAAAGAAGTAAAAAATCTATCACAAAAGAAGCCTAAAAGATTAACAAATTCAACTAAAAAAGTATAAGATCATGGATGCAAGGTTGAAGAAATTAAGTGTTCATCCATATTAAAGCTCATAGTCATGGATTCCTCCACTTCTAGTGTTCTTATTCTCAATCTATTTGTATTATTAATATAGCTAATTTTCATTAGCATTTTGAAAAAAAAAGGTGAATATTGTACTAGATTAACTTGTAGGTGAAAACTTTTAGTCACTCCTAATAGTTTTGAATATGCTATCTATTTTTTAGTTGTACTTCACCAATTATTAAAAAACTTTAAAAAGACTATAAGTTTTATATAATATGGTGCCCTTACCAAAATAAGAAGTGAGTATTCTGTCAGACCGGTCCAACCGATTCAGTGGATTGACCCGTGTTTACAAGAGGCGGAAAAAAGTTTTGCCCCCTCTTGTTACTGCGCAAACCATGGGGCTAGCAGCTCCCATTAGGAAGAACTTTGGAGGGTAAATTCAAAATAGGGGCTATTTGGATATTTCCTTTTAAATTGTATGCATTAAGAAGTGTGCTTTTATAGAGTTAGGGCATTGAGGATTTTACTAAATTTTGATTCGTATTCGTTGTTTTGGGCTCTGACAGCATCTAGAGAGTTCGGAGAGACAAATGTTCCTCTCTGATTGAATATCCTTTGTACCTTGTGTGCTTTCTACTTACTACTATAAATTTAATTGTGTTTCCACTTGTGCTTTCTTCAAAATTTTCTAATTATTGGTTTCACATCTTGCTGAAATTTAAATTTATGCAAGATAATTTAGAGATTTGCAAATGTTACCATCATATTCTTGCCTTTAAATAAAAAATATTATGGCAATTTCTAAACCAATCAGAGATGTCAAAGAGTTTAATTTGTTGTAGCAAGTAAGTTAGTATAATCCTATGTAAGTGGGTGCTTAAATTTGAATATAAGCAATATGATACTAAATCACATATAAATATTGTATGTTAATTGCTCTCTAGTTAGTTTGCATTTATAAATTGCTTATAAATATTTTTTTTTATAATTTATATTCTACATATCTTTATACAAAGTAAATAATTAAGCTTATGTGCTCAAAAGTTTACCACTCCCATTTATAACGTAGGCCGGAGCGTGATTCATTAATAGATAATAATAATTAATACTATGCTGTTGAGTGAACTATAATTATTTATATCTAAATAAATAAATCTCAACAGAGAGATGTCGCTTTGGCCGAGTGGTTAAGGCGTGTGCCTGCTAAGTACATGGGGTTTCCCCGCGAGAGTTCGAATCTCTCAGGCGACGTGATTTTTTTTTCTTTTAAAGTTTCTAAATTTAAATAGTTTAAAGTTTTAAAATCGCTACAAATATATTACCAACGATTAAAATAATTATTAAGACCTTTTAAATTTATTAATAATGTCCTTCCAGCCATAAAGTGTGAATTGAGGAAGTTTTATTTGATTCGGTCGACCAAATGAGAGAAACATTCGGTCGCAGGTAAAAATCCCGCGGTACCGAGGTGTACCGAGTTTTTCAAAAAACTCGGTACCGCGGGATTTTTGCATGCGAACCGAATGTTTCTCTCATTCGGTCGGAGGACGTAATAATTGTTCGAATTGAGGTGGGGAAGAAATTTGCACAATGCTGATCATCATAGGTCCAATTGTTTATCCAAAAATAGAATCTATGGTGGGGAATAGGATAGAGTGATGGATTCTCCTAACCTTTCGCATTCCCCTTCTTTTTATTTCACCCATTGTTGGCCCTATCAATGCCCTTCCCATCAAATTCTGTTGTGCCTTCAATCTTGTTGTTTGATGAGGTAAACAATAAAATTTAAGTGTTAAATATATAAATGTAATATATTTAAGTGATATGCATGTAAATCCCCTTTTAAAATATGCATGTAAATCCCCTTTTAAAAAATGCAAATAAGATAAACATGCATTAAAAAGTATGATTTTGCACGAACATTTTCTATACCTTCATTAACATGATAACTTAATATGATCAAAAAAATACATAACATTTTGATAACTATACCAAACAAAGCAGAAGATTACTAATAAGACAAAACTTGGAAATATCATTTATGCATTCACTTAGTGAAAGATTAAGTAAAAAACTGCCGGAAACAAGGCAAACGAGAAGCAGAATGAAACGAGGCCAACCAAATCAAAAATAATAATCGCTTACTTGCACTACGGAAACCCTCAAACTACTGCATGTCTTTCTTGGATTTCAATGCCTATCCTTGATATGATCACCTGCAACTTTGTCTCAACTACTAATATGATCTGATCAAGAAATCATTAATAAAATTAAATATTTATTTTGATTAAATCTTTTCTTTAAAAAAAATCTGTTTTTATTTTTCCTTACAAAATAAGTGGCATTATTTATATCCACAACATTATATACAATCCTATAATGTGGAATAAATAATATGAAGCCATGACATTTTATAAGTAGAATTGTAAAATAAAAATTTTTATTCAATTAGAACTTACCATGAATGTTAAGAAGCAAGAAGACCCTTTTTTTTTTATAACAAAAACACATATATTAAAAAAGGAAATAGCGATTACAACAGTGAATGACCAGAGAAATAAAAGGAAAATGAAATACAACCCACATTAGGCTCAGTATACGGCTGAGGCTCCCAGCATCCCTAAAGCCTCGCACGGACCATCCATAAGGTGAAAAAAGGCACCCACATCCAACTATCGAAAGACACCGAAGGTTGCCACCAGCTCGACGACAAAGACACGAGCCCCGGCCACATCATTGCCTCAAAAAACCCGATCCAAAATACCAGAAAAACCATTCTGAAGCTATTCCGAAGCAATCATAGGCAAGAAAAGAAATAGTAAATATGAGATTATCTTCTTCTACGTCCCCTCCCACGGCCCCTCCCGCGAAATCTCCCACTCCCACGAGAAACAACAGGTCTTACCCGAACCAAGGTAAAATCATTTCCAGGGTCGGAACCACCATAAAAA